CAGTGTGCCCATACAACCCCATTCAGGGTTCTAGGAATGGTTCACTGACTTGAAATTCTGGCTGCTTTTAATTGTGGGAGTTTTATTTGTTTAAGTAATGTGAGGAAAATACTGAGTTAGGACTCCTCATGTTAAATTATCAACTTTAGAGGCATTTTTTGTCCAGCTCTTCATCAGAGTTGAGGAAGAGTCTTAAGGGTTTAAAACTTTCTTATTTCCTTATTCTTTTCTGGTTTCCAAATGCCAATTTTTTCAGTTGTTACTGCACCCACAGAGAATCTGTGAGCAGACTGACAGGGTTGTAGACATTCACATAGTAAATCAAAGTACACCGAATCTATCTGTAGCATTGATAAGCTGTTAAGGTGCATTAAAGGAGGGTGCTGTCATTTGGACTGTGTTTTTTTTTTTTTTTAACTTCTGCTGCTGTAAGAAGTGCTTGGGGAAAAAAGCATTCAGAAAATGCTTAATGGTTTATGAAAGCATGATAATTGTACCATAACTTCAGCTTGTAAAGATACCTTAAAAAAACCTCTTCTAGGTATGCTTTATTTGGAAGTAAAAATTTTGTTGTTAGAAGCAAAATGACAAAAAATGGAGACATTTTAGGCTACTAATAATGTCCTGTCTTAGGTTGTACTTCAACTGAGTACTTCTTTCTTTTGAAGTAAAGCAGAAGATACAACATTACGTGCATATCAGATATCAGCCTCTTGGTGTTTATTTTATAAACTGAGACTTGGAAAGGAAAAAGTCTTGCTGTGAACTTACCTGTATGTTCGTTAAGTTGTAATTAAACAAAAAAGCATTAACATCTGTGCCATATTCTGTATTAGAGAAAAGTTGAGGCTTGTGTTTATCTGCTTGAGGTTCCCTTTGTGATAAGCAGATGCCTGTTTTGTAATAATGGCCTGATTTTGAAACAGTTAACTGTGTTAACTGTTAAATGCTTTATTTGGGGACAAAATACTGACCTTTTACCAAGATTTCACTCATGGCTGTTGTGGAGGTATGGGTGGGCCTACAGATGGATTAATGGCACATGCAAAATCTGTTGTTTCAAGCGGTAATGTCATCTTCTGGGCATGTTCTGAATTTTGGTGTGTCTTCACTGTGGCAGGTTCCTTTACTGCTGTGTAGACATTTCAGAATGGAGGGCTTGCCCGAAATAGTGCTGGGTGGTTTATTGGTGTAGAACTTCTGTCTTGTCTTCCCTGTCAAGTGTTTGTCTTAACACTCAACCATGCTTAAAACATTTTTGGAAGAACCACATGTGCTAGAGTTGTGCAACTGGATAAACAAAAATAGCCAAAAAATTAACCTTTCTCTAACCAGTGGAACTGTATTGATACGTACTTTTCACTGCTGGAAAAAAACAAGTAACTGAATCTCTCTGTCAGACTAATGCTAGAAATTTCTTGGCGCATTATGAACGGTTGTTGCTGGGTAGACTTGGCTGGTCAGGTACCTGAGCTCTTTCAAGCAAAGATGCGTGTGTTCTTTGACGTGGTTTTGTTACAAAATAATTGGGAATATTTCTTTTAATTTTTAATTTAGTTTAGCAGTGCTGCAGAAATGCTGTTCTACATTATACTGTGTACAAGTGAGCCCCAGCATATCTGAGTCATAGAGTGTGGTTGGAAAGGACCTCTTGAGGTAGTCTAGTCCAACTTTTTGTAGAAGGCAGGACCTTGGGTTAAGTTATTCACTGCCCTGTAAAGCCAAGTCTTAGCTGTTTCCAGCATGGGGAACTTGACCACTTCTCAGGCTTCCCTGTTTAATTCTTCTTGTACTAAGTGACTTATCCTTATATCAAATTAAATTTCCCTTAACACAGTTCAAGCCTGTTGCTTCTTGTCCTGTCTTCAGTTATCCTTGGGAGAAGAACACCTCTTTTTTCTTTTCTGTATGGAGTCAGCTTTTGTTCTTGTGCTCTGTTAAAAGTCTGTGAAGATAACGTTGTCAGCCTACAGGGGAAAACATCTAAGCAGCTGCCAGACATAGGATTTAGATGCCAAAACAGAAGTGTATAGTGCTGTTTTGTGTGTAAGAGTGTTCCAGTCACTGCACGGGCCAGGCAGTGGTGGCACAGCCATTAGAGGTGACCCATTACCAACTGCTGTATGAAACAGCAGTTAAAAGTTTGTGGGGAATATCCCGCAGTACCTAAGCTGGCTCAAATGCCAGTGTTTGCACAACTGATTCTCCCTCTGGATGTCTACTTGAGATCCACTGAAGATGTTGGTCTGTTGTCTGTTGATGTCACTGATGAAGATGCTAAAGAGTATCGGTCCTAGCACTGACCCCCCGTGGGACACCATTTATTGCTGGTCTCCATACAGACACTCTCTGTACTCAATCCTACAGCCAATAAATTTTGGTGGTAGATAGTTGGACTAGATGATCTTAGAAATCTTTTCCAATCTTAATGATTCTGTGTATCTATTACGTCAACACATTCTCTAGTTGGACATGAGGGCAGTGGATATGACTTAGTCAAATGTCACTTGGCTCTCTTTAACATGTAATTGAGTGGGACTGTCCCTGTGGTGAAGATTCCCTCTTCAATTGCATGACACAGCCAAGTGAGTGTTAGAGAGCTGATAAGTATCAACCAAGAAATTGCTTTCTTTGCTGTGAAGAGTTCACGAGCAGAAGAATAAAACATGTTTTGTAACACTTATATAAAAAATACAAGAATACGTTTGGAAATGGACAGAGATTTTGTAAAATATTCTGTAAGCCCAATTGATCTCATTTAATGTATATCTTGTAAAATAAATGGTTAGTACAAGCAGTGTCTATTTCCCAAAAAATAAATCGTCTAACTTAACTTGACAGTCGTTTTTATTTAAGAGTTAAATTCATCACTTTGGTCCTGGGTTACAAATTAACTATTGTATGTAATTTATAGGAATCAATATTAAAATTTTCATTACATTAAAATCAGTAGTGAGTTTCTGTTGATTTCAGTTGATCGAAGATCATGTTGCTACTATGTAATATCAGACAACATACTAGTATTTATTTCACTTGTTCTTGTGTTAATGATTTCCTTTTCTGTGAATGAGAATATAGATCTGTACTTCCAATTTCATTTTAAAAGATTTTTTCACTTACAGCTGTCCTAAAATTTTTAAGGTTGCAGCACTTTTCTGCCTTCTTAGATCAATAGCATTCAACATAGATGAGGAAAATATTTCAATTTTGTTCATGCTGAAAAGAAAAACACATTGCTTGTTCAGTGTTGAACAGTGTTTTCAGTGTTTCCAGGACTAAAATTTGTAGTATTGTCTGCTAGCTCATGCAGAGGAAGCTGTTACTCAACCTGTATATATTTTAGAATAATAGACAGAATAATTTGTTCCGTTGGTTATGAATGTAAATATTGTTTTTAAGACAGTGTTAACCAAGAATGTTCTTCCTATTTGCAGAGCAAGCTTTACATGGAAGGATTTAGAAGCCTAAAAGAAGGAGAACCAGTGGAATTTACTTATAAGAAATCTTCCAAAGGCCTTGAATCAATACGGGTAACAGGCCCTGGTGGGAGCCCCTGTTTAGGAAGTGAAAGACGACCCAAAGGGAAGACAGTACAAAAAAGAAAACCAAAGGGAGATAGGTAAATACCTTACTTTGTTATTTTACCCTTCTTTTTTTCTCTTTTTTTGCAAGTTTTTCTTGAAGTTTGATATTTTCAGCGTTTACTGATTTGTGAAAGGAAGTTCTTCTGTGTAAAGGTGCTTTTATATGTAGCATAGTAACTTGATTAAGGCTATTAAGCTGTACCTGTACAACTACATAAATCACTCTTGTGATTGGATTTTGTTGAGAGGGTTTTATTGAATTAGAAGAAGTCTGCAAAGGAATGTAATACTGCTTTGAAAATACTGCAGATGGAGTGTGGAGACAGGTTGATCCGAATACAGGTGAAGTAATGTCATGTTTAGTTGAGAACTGTGCCTGCTAAAGAGACTGTGTGCAGTGACATTTTAAATTGTGCATCAGTAGTTCTGTAGAGAAGGATTGAAACTAATATTGGTGAGGTGTGTATTACTTGGTTAATAATATTTTTACTCAGTGAAGAGGGTACCTAACATTTCTGAAAGTCAGAAAGGTTAGTGTCTGAAGTAGTATTTGTAATAATATTTTACAGGTTAATGTTTAATCTGTGTATGTTTAATCCAGAGATGCAGTTATGCAAGTGCAGCAGTCTGACTCCTACTGTTTTACTTTACTCTCTGCATCTGATGGCATGACAAAGTTCTGTAATTCTCTTCACTATGAGGCTACCTGCACTTTATTTCCTAAGGACAGCCTTTCCTCCCAAAAGCACTTGTATTTTACATGACTCTCAGTTTTACCTGAATCTCCTTTTTCCTCATGACGTTGCCAAACCCAATACGTCATTGCTGAGATTAAGGGAAAAGCATAGCTTGTGAATATACAGCCCATTCAGAGCATCAACAGCCAAGTTTTCCCTGCAGTAAATGATTTACAGCATGACAGAGAAATGGCTCTCCTCCATTGCAAATTCTGGAACTAAGAATACCTTTTGAAAACTATGGTCACCCAGAAAGGAGGCATTGTCCAGCCTCTAGAAAATAGGGATGAAACTATTTGCTGGATACAGATGAACACTGCTTGTCCTCACCCTCTGTTCAGAAGGCTTCCTCTTTCTTCTTCTTTTCCTTTTTTCTTTTTTGTTTTTTTCTTCTCATTCTCTTATTTTTGTTCTCATTTTTTCTTGTTCTCATTTTCTTTTTTTTTTTTCTCATTTTCTTTTTTTTTTTCTCATTTTCTTTTTTTTTTTTTTTTTTTTTTTTTTTTTTTTTAA